CACTTCCCTAGGATGACAAGTGTTTCTTTACTTTTTCTCCTCCAGATTGTTAATAGACTCTAGTCCATAGATTATTCAATCACCAGCAGCAAAGAAAATGTCAAAACCGGCAGAAAAGCCCAAGACAAAACACTGGAAACAAACAACAGCTCTTCCAAGGCTATGAAACGGTCAACACCACGAGCATTTCAAGCAAATTTACTTTTACTCTCTTCGACACAGGCAAATAACTAGTTAAATTCAAATCCAAATCTGAACATCATGAGACAAGAACCCTGGGAAGGCAGAGACAATCTCAGCTATGGGTTACAAATACAAATACCAGCCTCTTAGTGAGAGAAGAAAGGTTATTAACTGAATACTGATAAACACCAATTGCATGCACTTAGTTCACCTCTTTCAAACAAGTGAAAATCAGATGTGCTTGCAACATGAATGTCAATCTGAGAAGAAAGAAGCAGCTAGCCTCCAAGTAATCTTATACTACTTCCTCCTTATGGCATTCCCAGACTATTTCAACATAGATGAAATCTAACCATGGAAAACAGGATCATGAAGCTTAAGAAGAAATAAATTCTTTGAGAGGAGGGGCAGGAAAGGAAGAGGAAAAAAAATCCTTACCAACTGCCTGGCCTTACTGTGCACTTTTCCAGGAGACCAAGTATTGCTTCTGATGCAGTAGCATTCAGCCCTGGAGAAGTCAGAACAAAAAGTGAGGGGAGGGGAGAGGAGGAAAAGGGAGGGGAAAAGAGGAAAGGGGAGGGGACAGCATGTACACTGCATGTCAGTTTGTAGAGCCCTAACGTTGCTTTCAGAAAATACAAGACCGATGCTACTGTTAAATCAGGCTGGGAATTAGTTTGCAACGGTTCAAGGTGAACAGGGAACAAGATCTTGGTATGACCATTTTGGTTCAAAACAGAGAGCCAGGAAGAAGAAATGTGTCCCCCCATTGCCTATTTAAAGAATCTGGAATGTCAAACATGCTTTTTGCTCCTAAAGAGAAATCATACTAAAACTTACAGTCAAGAATGGTAAATGTAAAAGCTGCAGCCAAACCTGTCACTGCAATTAGTGAAAGAGGGAGGCTGTCCAGAAGAAAGCAAGATTTCCTTGTTTTCCTACTGTCCTCCAAATTCAACTAGCATCTACCTGCAATGTTAAGAGACTGTAGACTAGATGGAGTAGTCGTTCCATCTCTTCATTCACACTGATGTTGCCAGCTGCTTCCAAACACAATGCACAGTGCACCACAGACAGTCCTACTCAGAAGACTCTCACCCTAACGCAGTAAAACAGACCAAAGGGAACAGCAAACACAATGGCCACAATCATTGTATCAAAATATTCTATGCACTTGAACATGAGCCAGACATTCTTTCACTAACCAATCAACCATTACATTCCAGTCCTACCCTACCATGAGAAGTCAGCCGAACTACAATTTCAGTGCCTGAAGGGGGAATAGAAAGGGAACACTTGTTGCAACACATCTCATCACCACATCTCTGTAGGACTGGGATGAAACTCAAAAAGCAACTTCTTATCTCAGAGGTTCTACTTCTAGTATCCCAAATTTCCCATTCCTCACAAACCATGCTGTTTTCTTGAAATCTACTGCATAGCTATCCAATTTATCTACATTTATTCCCTTGAGCTAGCCATTTTGCTGCTAGTTATCTGCCGTCCACCATCCTCAGTCTGATGCTTTCCTGGGCCTGCAAGCCTCCTAAGCCCACAAAACAACCTGAATTCTTGCAGACATGCAGAACCTTGGGAACTCTTCCAGCCGCATCGTGGCTGCACAGCATGACGCAGCAAGTGGTCCCACTGGATGACACAGCTCTGTAAAACAGACTGCACAGATCCACACTGGGGCACAGGAAGGGCTCAGCTGACCCCCTGCTTATGACAAAGTTACTTCCTTCCTGGCTGTAATGGTTTGAAACCTGCTGCCCCTGGTGGGTGGAGATCTGAAACCCTAAACCAGGTACAAGCCTGAATGAAAGGGGCGTACACCTGTCCTATTCCCACTCCCCTTTTCCTGTCTTTGGGACTTCCTGCCAAGGTCTATAAAAAGGGGAGAAAGGCACGCCTCTTCCTCTTCTTTTCTTCCTCTTGCTCCTTTGACCTTGCACCTGGGCACACGCTGCTCTGCTGCTCCCTGTGCTACACGTGGCCGTGGCCATCTTCGAGACCTGGGCCTGATCTACAGACTCTTCCCTGCCTCCATCCACGTCCAAGGATTGTGCATCCAGCTTCAATCCACCTCAATCCAGCGAGATCCAGCACCGGGGAGCCTCAGCATAGCATTTGGGTTTTGTATATTTGGAAGTTTAATCTTCCTTACCTTGTTATTCCTACAACCCCCCTTCCCTGTTAAACCCCTACCCTTCTTCCTTTCTGTACCCTGTTAAACCCCTTCCCTTCTTCCTTTCTGATCCCTGTTAAATAATATATTTCATTTTGTTAATCTTCAATTTGGTGCAAGGTTTTCATTACCCCTGCCTTCCTTATTTACCTCTCTATCTGGGAAACTGAGGGATAAGGGAGGTGGGACACAGTTCTGCCTTCTAACCGGGACAGAACACTGGCAAAGGCTGTCTTCAGTCCAAAAATTGAGCAAGATCCCAAATTACACAGTGCCAAGGAAGAGACAGAGCCAGAGACACCACAGAACTTTTCAGGTCTGCTCCTGAAAAGCTGACTCCTGTGAAGCTCTCCTCTGCTCGTTACCCACAAAAAAACAGGCTGTTCTGACATCTTCTCAGTTTTAAGTAAGCTGTTAGCAGCTGTAGGAAAGACCTATCTTCACACTGCTCCAGAATAACACAAAGATTGAACCTCTTACTGTCACAGCAACATAATTCACTGGAGAATCCCTGGTTTACACATTGCCCTTATGGCTTTAGCAAAGTATTACTGACAACCTGATCCAGCACACTGAGCCCCTGCGGCAGATGCTTATCTTAAAAAATGCAAAAGCCTTGTGTGATGGCTAGCAGCCTGCCAGGTGGCTCTTCCTGGCCCTTCTCAGAAACAGACTCTCCCACCCTCACCCTAGGCCCTGCTCCCAGCGCTGCCATCTCCAGAACGCCATCCTGCAGACGTGGAACAAACCAAGAAGCTTGCTACTCATTAAAAATCAACATTTTCCTCACTGGAGAAAAAAAAAATACAACAAAATCATATACTCCCTTCTTCCACATAAAGCCACAAGCCCAGTATGTGCCCAGTCCCATCCCCACAGCAACTCACAAAGGGTTAGTGCAGCTACATTCATTCGTCTGGAAAGGATTTTCATCACCTTGCCTCTTTCCTTGCCTCTTCTGCCATTTCAAAAATAGCTCTGGCTTGTTTGCTGTACCGTTTCTGTCAGTCTGATTTTATGCCTGGCTGGATGTATACAGACAAGCTGGTAGCCCATTAAGCACCAACTACTACCCAGATCTGTACGTACATGCGCAGTCACACAAACACAAAGCACAGCCCCCTGCCTTGAAGGCCGTCCTGGAAAGCTGCTTGTTTTGAGAGGCTTTGAGCTGTATTAAGTATGTTTACAGCAAGCTAGAGAACAGACCACGGCCTCTTCTGAGGTTAAAAAGAAAGCAGAAAAGTAAAATAGCAGTAACATCCATCTGTCTTAAAGCTGCAGGTAAGGACCTTCCCAGTGATGAAAATACTTTGAAATGCGAGTGCATTTATCAAACGACCTAAGGTCATTTGTCTGCAAGCTGCTCCTGTTTCTGTTCTGTCCATTAAGGACAAACAATTCCTCCCCAAGGCTTTGAAAACTATTATCCATGACTGCCCGAAATGCAGAGAATACAGGAAGGTGCAGACGTGCAGAAATTCTGAAACAAAATACTCCTAAAAAAAATTCAGGTAAAGTCCTGAAATATGAGAAGCTGTCTGAATGAGATTTTTTTTTTTTTCTTCTAGCACTTTTTAATCAGTGGGTTTTCCTGAAGAGCTTTTCTTTTTAGAATAAATCAACTTTCTGGAGCCATTTCAGTAATCCCAGATTAATTCCATTCAAATCTTGCATACTTCCCAAACCCAGTAATCTAAAGCTCAGCTTTCAAGACCCAGCTCATTGGCTGTGAGCTTCCTATGTGATGTATTTTTAAATGAGACTTTCTCAGCATGCCATGACTCAGGAACACTGGTTACCATGAACTGAAGATTTCCACAAGGAAATGCAGCACAAAGAAATCTTGATTGTTGATTCTATCCATGTTCCTACATAGCTATAAAATCAAATATGCATTAGCTACTTTATAATTTATTATAAAAATAAATTAGTACCTACTGACATTTCTGTATGAGGTGCTCCACAATTACTCATCTGCTAAAAAACCCATAGAAATTTAAGAGAAAAAAACACTATACAGCATTTCCAGCAGTCACTAGAGTATGAAGATAATATTAAAAAGATCAGCCTCTCAAGCACAGTCTCTCTTGTTATGGGTGCTTTTAAATGCAATTCCGTATGTATTTTAACAGCAAAGAGCCTACAAACAAAAGATAACCATATAGCAACAAATCAGCATCTTCACAAAGGGTGTAGGAAAACCAGTTGTTCCATGACATCTGAGGACCTCTTCAATTTCAAGGGCAATCCAACAAACCAGAGATGCAGAGAACTGGAACAGACTGCCTGGAGGAATTGTGAAGTCCAATCACATAGGTCTTTAATGTCAACATCAGAAATGAATGGGTAAAAGTTCTGCCCTGGGGCAAAGAATCGAAATAGATGACTGCCCAAGATCCCTAAGATCCCTTTCCAACCACATAGTCCTGACCTCTGCGGCTTGCTGCCTTTTTTTTTTTTTTTTTTTTTTTTTTTTTTTTTCTTTTTTCACCCTTTTTCTGGGACATTCCTTCTCTCGTCTGCTTACTTCTAGCAACTCCTCTTAGCTTTCACTCCTATTACAACTAGCATCACACTTAGAAATAAGCTTTGAACGATGTATGAAAATTAAACATCATTTACTTACCCATCCTCCTTGTTGAATGATGTAGTCTGCAGAATAGTCTTCTAGATATGTCACCCCAAAGTTCACAAGTGCGCTCAGTGGTTCCTGGCCTCGTCTGGTTAACTCCATCAGAAATTGTTGTAGCAGAACCAGGGGTACCAAGACCTTCAAAAACCAAGAATTGTGAATAAATACAGAAAGCATTATCAATACTGCCTACGGTGTAGGTAAAACAGAAGAATTCATGTAGTCCACAGAGAAGGACTGAATCTACAAGTCCAAAGATACTAGAGACTATACACTTATTTTTGTGAAGGCAACAGCCTGAAACAATACAATTCTGATAGCAAAACACCCAGCCTAACTTCACAGGGTTTCACAGAACAGTACTGCAGTGTTTTTCTTAAGCCCCACTTTTTTTTTTCCCAACACAAGATTCATGTAAGGAAGCAGAACAGGCCCAGGACCTGCTACCCCAGAAACGTAAAGATGCGACATTATAAATAGGTTGAAGGGATATGCATCCAAATTGTATTTAAACAGCAAACTCATACACATTCTTGAGCAGATGCACTCCACTGGACAGACTCAAGCTTGTCTTTCAGACAGGGCAGAAACGAACTCCTCCTCCCAGCAGCATAACATTAAAGACATGTATAAAATGACAAACATAAACCCCTCTTTATGTTAAACTCTCTCTCCTATGCCCAATTTAGCATGTACAGAACTCCCTCCCTCATTTCCTACTCCCATTTTAAACCTTCTGTCTTTAACTGAATGTTCATCCTTAAACCAAATGTGAACTGTTCAGGAAGATGCAAGACTTCTGATCCTTGATATTACACCATTTCCAGACACCTCCTTCTGAAATTATGGGTTTGTCTGCCTGACAACACACAGTTGAACTTTTAAACTCTGAATTTATTCTCTTAGAGCATGCAAATGGCCCTGTGGGCAAAGTTTATATGCAGCACTTTGCCAAGTTCAGGAAACCGGTCTGAACTGACGCCATTAGCATCTGAAAAAGCACTATTCTGACACAAGAGAGAAAGCGATTTTTTACTGCACCTAGCTAGGGACAAGTGCATAGTGCATCTGCTCGCTGTGCAAATAGGAGCATTGTTTCCCACCTGCAGAAAGGCAGATGCAGGGTAATACTACCACTCAGACTGAACTTCAAATGCCTCCTTCCTCTCCTAGTCTCCTCCTCCTTCAGCCTGATGTTCTTTTCTGTAAATATCCTCCACTGCTGTTCCCAGAAATCACACCTTAGAATGCAAAGCTGGAGGGAGACGAATAGGAAAAGTAGGCTGCGTTTGAGATTTGTACTAAATCCATGGTGAAGTCACACTGAGATGGACCACTAAAAATACATGGGGCCTTAAAAATGCCTGTAATCTAATAAATTTAAGATGTTCCAAGCAGATTAACAATTGAGAGAGTCTGATATTATGGCAGACAGATTATATAGTACTGCTCTTCTGGGACAAACAGGTAACACTGGAGTCACTTAACTAGGAATGAGATTGTGCTTGAATGTTAAAAGCCTTGGAGTGTTTGAGTTTCTTGTAATTGATTTCAACTCAGAGACAGGAGGGATGCAAACTCACAGTGAACAAATATAAGGAGCAGGTCAAGGTGAGTTAAGTGTCAGAAGAAACTTTTAAATCTTCTATGGATCAAAGGAAAAAAGCATGCTGTCAAAACTAGGCATCTTTTGGAGGCTTTGGGCACACGCACATAACTCTACAACAGCATGAACATTGAGATCTCAAAATATTTGACATTTACTTTTAGCTGAAGGCAAGGGAAACAAAGGCAAAAAAGGCTGCTTAGGAAAAGAAGGGAGCTCAAATGTTGGCATTCTGAACACAATTGTTGCCATCTTCCTTTGCCAACTGAACTATATAATCCATTCACTCCTCCCAAACTTGCAAGCCCCTGCAGGCCTCAGCAGCAAGAGAACAAATTCAGACTCTAATATCCAGTTTCATGCAGAGCAACAAACCCTACCTGTTTTTTCTTTCCTGCTAAAATTATTGACACTTCTAACTTTGAGGCCAGTTGTAACAGGGTTGCATGACACTGTCCATGAATTCATGGAAGACATTACTTTTCAGAATACTTCCACAAAGGTTAACACCACCTTTTTGTATGTAAGAGTAGTTATGTGAATGGTGATGCGATTTAACTAGAGCAAAGTAAAAATATAGCCTTAACAATTCAGAGCAACTACAATCCCTCCACCAGTATGCCTGGGAAGGAATGCCAGAGGCTATTTATATTTTGACTGATGAAAAACACACACAACAGCGAGCACAGCATGCCAGAAAATAGTTGGCAGAAGAAAACTTCTAGGGAATCGTTAAAAAAAACTACTTTCTGATTAATTGTGTAAATGAAAGATTTCTGTCAATTATACTATTGCAATCCCACAGTACAACATTACAAATTTAAATGTATGCCAAAGAAAGTTCAGAGGCTATGAAGAAGTTATATCCAAAGTAATTACCACTTCTGTGTACCTTTTGACTATTTCAACTAATCCAATTCTTTACATGATTATTTCTTATATTTTTACTTTACTTTGGTTCCATGAATCAATAAAAATGGGACATTAAGATGGCTACTACTTACAAGTTTAGCTGACTCTCAGTTATCCTTTTATCTCGTGCAAAATAGTGGGATTATGTATTTTGGAGTATGTATATAATATCCAATTTTAAGAAAAAAAGCATAAAATCTTAACAGTAAAGGATTTAAATTTTTATTACATTTATTTTAATACAGAAATATAACTTGCCCTAAGTTTGAGGTGGTTTTGGTTTTGCATTAATGAGAGCCTTATTTCAAATACAAGGTGAAGACTCCTTTTCTTTACAGAATCCAACATCATGCCTATTATTTTCACACCACGATTTCTGAGAAATACATGAAATAATGTCTTTTCCTGATTTATTTTTTTTTTAACTGAGAACCAGCACTTCTAATGTCCGTGGGTAAATGTCACTTCTGTGGGACAGTAATGGAAGAACTGGTGTTCCTGTGTATTAGTTCACCCTGCAATATTTCTTCATTCAGATCAATATTCCTGTTCTAGTGACCAATAACATCCCTATAAATTCCACGTGCTAGTAAGTAACCAGATCTCTTCAGCAGTTCGAACACAGCACTACACCCTGGAAAAGATCCACACTGTTATGTGGAAAAAAAAAAAATTAGAGCTCTGTTCAGAAGTGTCTTATTTCTGCTAATGCTTGTTTAATGAACAGGCTCTTTGAAGACTAGTATGACTAAAAATATCACCTTTCCAATTGCAAACCAGACAGGTTAAGCTTTTGTCCATGCTGAAGCTCCAAGCAGCTGGCCAGACAAGTAATCCAGTACCCCCCAGAACTGTATGCTTACCTGTATGCCATGCTTCTCATACACATGACATCAAGCCCACAGAGATACTGGGCCTTTAAGTGATTACTGAGTGCATCACATTCAATATAGTAAAATAGGTGGGGCTTTTATATATACACATATGTATAATACATGCCAATAACAGCCAAGGCTCAGAAATGTAAAGTAAGATTCTATATACTGAAAGCAGAAAGAGCAACTTGCTGTGCACGGTGCCACTATGGAGCACACCAGATACAGCTCACGTGTACTGAAAACACATTCCATCTACAAGCTTCAGTTGTTTTATTTCTTCTAGTCTGGATCAAACCCCAAGCCTTGCTCACACAGAACTCTGTCTACAGGAAGGTATTTAGACATTTTCAGCCCTTTCACATCTGCCAAAACTACTTTGCATCTTCATTTTCTGCTCCGCCCAAGAAACTATAGGACAAATAGCCTGAAGCATGTAACAGAGAATGATTTATTACTCCATTCGGCTAGCTCAGCTAGTTGTATCTTTTCTTATTATATAGTAATAAAAGGCAGCAAGCTTCTGTTCTCCTGCTAGAGTCCATTTAAATATACATCCTTCAGATTTTCACAGATTTGAGGCCAGCACAGCCTTGTTCTGCTGCTGTATGGCTGCTAAACAGACCCAACGCTATGTCTATTTATAGCTACTTTTCAAAATTATTTTTCTAACAGTTTCTTCTTTAGAGTGAAAATTAAGCTAGGCTGAGGTTGGAGGAAAGATCTCTACATCTTTTCTGTTATGAAATATGATTCTGATTAAGATGATAAAGGAATTTGAAAGGAAATGAAACCAAGACAAATGTATTCCAGCTCCTAAAAACAAGTATTATTAAAGGAACTGCTAGGCATTCCT